TTGTCAGGATGATCTTAACAATGTTCAAAGGAACTTCCAGTTTAAGTTTTTTTTTCTTTTATAGTGGATTTTAGATTCTATCCTTTTCACATTATCACTCATGCCAACTGATACATTTTTCCTCGTTAGTTCTTCAGCTTCAATTCATCGTTGATCTGTGATTGAGCACGGAAATCGAGCTTTAAAATGGACGTTATAATTAGACAAAGTCGGTCATTTTTTAGCCCCTGAACCCCCCCCCCCCCAAAAAAGACCAAGTGAACTATCTTATCTCCACGCCAAAACTCCAATTTGAACGTTGCGATTTAAGAAAAATGCTAATTTATGTTTGAAGCAAATTAACAACATAATAAGGAAAAAAAAACAATTTTAAGATTTCTTTGTTATATGATTTCAATAAAAAATCATCCAGGTAAATAACTAACACTGCTCAAAAAAGTAACGTCAAAACAAACTGATTTTTGAACTACACTCACTCGAGGGTAAACTATTGATTCAAATTCTCAAAATAATAGCTTCGGTTAAGAGGCGCCACTTTGGGTCAAAATTGACTTGCAATAAAAACATCCATAAATCTCTACCTAAATTCTGGTTATAAACAAATTCAGGTCTTTTTCATACGTCTCGAACTAAATCGTTTATATAAGTTGACTGCATTTTCTAGCGGAAGAAATAAATTAGCCCAAAAGTATGAATTAATAGGGTTCGCGCAGAAGGTATGAATGATTTTTTGTTGTTATCAGTAGTTTTGGGTGGTTCCCTTTTCCCGAAGTCAAAACGTTATTTTCTCAAGGCCAAAACTGAATAATCCTTCAGGCAAACCAGATAAATATATGTTAGTAAAGTTTGAATAAGAATGATTTTTTAAACAATTGTGATTGCGTTGCAATTCAGAATTAAGATAACTTTTTTTATAAATAAATATTTTTTAAAGACTTCAGGTTAGCCTGGTTTATACACAGTGTCAATAAGGGCATTAAAATGGCTTACATAGAAATAAGCCTACAACATTTTTAGTAGACAGGTCCTCAAGTAGACAAATACTATTTTAGCCAATCAGAATCGATACAAAAATAGCAAACTTACTCAAGAATACTTATTGCTTACGTTTTTTTTTTGTGTTGATCCTGATTGGTTAATAAAGTATTCGTCTACTTGATGTTCTGTCTGCTTAAAAGATTGTTTAAATGTAGACCGCACGCCATTGAAATGAGACAGTTCACAAATGGGTCCATTCACCTTTGCATAATAAGAAGAAAAGTGCCAATTAATGGAACGGTGAATCCGCGACTTCAATTTAAATTGAAGTGACGTCCATTCACTTGAGTTTAGCTTAATATTCTCTGCGGCAATATTACTTCAGTAAAAGTGGATTTGACATCAAGCCGATCAAATTCGAAGCCAAAATCAGGCGTTTCGATCTAATTTTTGCATATGAAGGTATTGAAGACAAGAGTGAAGTCAAACAATGTCCGTTAAAGTCGACACAAGGTCGAAAAGGGACATCGGTCGAACCAAAAAGTCGAAAACTGACTTCATTCGACTCACAAAGTCAAAAATGTAAATCGTTTGACTGTTCCAAAACTCCTGAACCGATTGTTTTACCTTCGTCGAACTCAGTTGAAACGGTTTACTCCAGTCGTTTTTCCCCGATTGCCGTTAACTTTCCTTCGATCGCGCCGGTCTCGGTTAATTTTTCTTCGGTCGCGCCGGTCTCGGTTAATTTTTCTTCGGTCGCGCCGGTCTCAGTTAATTTTTCTTCGGTCGCGCCGGTCTCAGTTAATTTTTCTTCGGTCGCGCCGGTCGCAGTTAATTTTCATTTGGTAGTGCCGGTCGCGGACACATTGGCTCGGTCCGCAAAGTCTGCAAATACCAATTTTGGGTCGCGGCGGTCTGAGAAAATCAATTTTTGGTCGCGGCAGTCTGGAAATACCAAAATTTGCTCGCGATCGTCTGATCATAAAACCACAACCTTAGCCCGGGAGTGCAAATAGTTATCTTGTATGTTTTTAAAAGAAGTTTTTTCGGTGGCTTTCGACAAAGGCGGAAAGTGACCAGTTTTCTTTCGACTTTCGAAGGAAGCGAAGAGGATTTATAGAGGATGTTTTTTGCTCAGACCAAATTTTTAAGGAAATTTGACAGCGCGGAGACTGCTTCGGTAATTTTTGGAATGCCAATCCAGTGTGTTTGCACACGAACAAATGCTTTGTATTTTACTTAATAGTTTCAATACGCGAGCTATTTAGGCGTGACAAAATATCCCTCGATATTGACTCGAGGCAAAATTATTGTTCATAAAAATTACACTCAAATTGTAGCACTTTACATTTTATATAAGCAAAAATTAAAAATATATATAACTCAACAAAACTTTGTTGAACAAAAGTTAGTCGAAATTTGCTAAAGAGCAGTCTGAAAAATCAGAGTTTCAATCTGATCTACGAGCCGTCTTGTTAGTTAAATTATGCAGTTTATAACAGATGTTGCCGAAGCAACTACATTTTCCCAATCTTTATAAATCAAAAGTCACTGTGATCAAACATTTGTAATCTCTGTGATATAAACACTCTCGAAACAAACCAGAACTAAGAAAGTTGACTCTTGGAGACATGTTTTGACCTAAAGTGACGAGTCAACTACATGTTTTGGCGAGCAAAAAAGCCGATCTCATCAACTTTCGTACAGCCTTAAAGATCACAAAGTTTCTTATATAGTAAAGAAGGAATACAATCCCCCTTTTTTGGAATTTTCGGGAAAATTTCAGCAAATAATTTGGTTTGGTAAATTGGTTAAATTCTACAAAACAGCGAAACAACACAGCGACACAATACAGCAATATAATACAATTAAGCCAAAGTTACAATACAGTGGTACAAATGTATTTTTTGGATATGTTTTGAATACTCTTTCAGAAGATTGGATTCTCATCTCGCAAATGTATGATACTGACAATCAATATACACTGATCAGGTTGTGAATATTTATTCAAAAATTGGATGCTTTTCTTGGTTTGAATTACTTCTCTATTCAGCTTGAATTTGGGCTTCTCCTTCAGAAAAACTAGAAAAAAAGAAGAATTGAAAACAAAAGGAAGACGAATAGTTGGAAAAAATACAAGCTGAAGAAAACCAAGATTAGATGTGGGCAAATATATTTTTAATGTTTAACCCCGAATTGTCTCGTTTTTTTCTCACACACTTTCAAAAAATCCAGAAAAAAAACATACTCGAGCCTTTTGTTTTTTGTAGTAGTTTTCGTTGGTCGCTGCCTTAAATATTTTTGACAATTTATTTCAATCTCTTCACAAAAAAAAACTGTCTTATAAGACTGTGATAGAGATAACCAATTTCTGAACACACTGAGAACAAACAACCTTTTGTAGTTTTTCTTGTCAATTCATCTTGTTCGTTGTAATTTTGCTTCGCAAAATAAAACAACTATCTTGGTTCAAAATTTTGTACGTGAAAGCAAAAGTTGATATCGAATTTGAAGAGAAAACGTAACAAATAACATTTCCTTGCGTTTTTTTGAAACAATAACGCTTCTTGTTAAAGTGTAATTTGACATATCAAAAAAAGTAAAAAATATACTGGCACTTGATGCTGCAGATTTGAAGACTATGTCTACTTAAAAAATTTGGCTAGAATTGCATTGAGCATAACAAAAAATCTGTTTGACAGTTCATAGAAGAACTCTTTGAAGATTGTTTTTCAATTTTTTTGTTTTTATTTCACATGACAGAAAAGTAAAACTTAAATTGGCTTGAGGTTAATACGAGTATTGCAATTAAAATTGTTATTTGAATTGATTTATAATTTACCACCCTAAAACTATAGATAAATAGGTTTTGGTGGACCTAAACAAAAAAATACATAACAAAAAGTCTTTTTGACAGTTCACGGAACAACGCTTTGTTTGTTTTTCAATTTTTGATTGACTTTAATTGCGAATGCCCTAATTGTAAAACATAATAAAAAATATATATACAAAACCCTTAGACGGACATTTAAAAAAAACGTTTTCTAAATCATAGACGATTCCTGGTTTTGTTTAATTTTCCTTTTTTCTAACTAAGTTGCGCATCGCCTCGGTTTTTTAGAGCCGTTCTCACAATCTAAATACGACAGGATCTTCGACGATCAACTTCAATAGCAACACAAAAACAATGTCAGCGTGGAACAGATTTCGCATTTGCCAAATGCAGCTCAATGGATCTCTCGACTTCTTGGAGAAAAAACTCTGCTCAGTAAAATCAACTCGTTCTTTGAGTTCGTTAGTGGGAGCAGCAGAATCCAGACTGCAGGAACTGAATCAATTGTCAGCGGAAATCATAGATACCGGATCGCCCGAACAAACTA